TGGGGGAGCCTGTGTCTCCGTGGGCTGCTGGGCTTCAGGAGGGCAGAGCAGTGGGGCAGCACAGCCCAGGGCTCACTGCTTTCAAGTGGTGTGTTTTGTGGGGAGAAGCTGCTTTCAACTTGTTCCTGCCCAGCAAAACACTTGATTTAAAAACTCCCCTTTTTCCTCTGGCATGTGTTCTATCAAAATCACATGATCTATTTTTTTTTAAGCAGCATTCTGAACGGGGTATCTAGTGGTCAATGAGCAGTGATCAGGGTTCTTGGGAGTGCAGGAGGAATCCCCTGCTCTTGTTTTTCAGACTTTACCGAGATGATGAGGGCCCTGGGGTACCCCCGCCTCATCTCCATGGAGAATTTCCACACCCCAAACTTCCTGCTCGTTTCAGAAGTGCTTCTGTGGCTGGTGAAAAGGTTGGTGATCAGGCTAAGCCATGAAGTGGGTGGTGGGGTGTGATAGGTGTGCTTGGAGCTGAGCTTTTGGGGTGAAACTGTATTTAAAGAGGACCATCCTGTTGCTTGACCTTGTACCCCAGACACAGTGATACTGTAATGAAACCTTTTCAAGGTACAGTTAGTTCTTACCTTGTGGCTACAGTTATTGGTTCAACCTGGTATTGTCCATGTTTAAAAAGAACATAATTAAAAGGTACTAATCTGCTACTACCCAAGTGCAGTTTTATACCCACTTAACCCCTTGACAGACTTTGGTTCAATATTTATGAAACTTGTGCTAATCCATCATTTTCTTTCTCCCATGAAAGTGAACAAACCAATTGAAATTTTTAAGGTAGAATATTAGAAAGGAAAAGATGAGAGTGACCCATTTGCCTGGTTGCTGGTTTTTGGCCTGGAATCATCATTAGTGTCCATGAAGTTTATTGACCCAACTGGTAGAAATTTGCTGAGTCCTGTTGTAATTGTTATAAAATAGAGAAATACTTTCAGCCATTCCAGGTGACTTGGATTAAGTGACCTAAATGCTCTTTAAAATACTGCAGCAACACTGAGGGTCTCAGTTACTGACTGTTCTCAGAGTGTGTGGAACAAAAGAAATCAGGGTTCCCTCTAGTACAGGACAGTAAAATAACAGAGCAATTGAAAGAAAACAAAATTACTGCTTTAAAAATGGCTTTTCCTCCTAAAAGCTTAAACTCCCAGTGTTCTAAGATCACTGGGAACCCTGTGTTGAGTAGTGAAGTGCTTCATTTTCAGACCAAATTGCTGGCACCCTTCTCTGTCTCAGCTGAGAATTGCACTTGATACAGGCAGGTAGCTTTTCCAGCTTTTTTAATTACACTTTCAAGCAGAGAAGCCACTTTGCACCTGCCTTGCTCATAATTTCAAATGTGATTTGAAAGCAAATATGCTTTTTTTTTTACCTTTCAATGCTGAAAATCTCACAGCCTTTTTGTGAGGCTGGGAATTGTCTCCTTATAATTCCCTGGTTCCTGTGGGCTGGTGACTTTCTAGAAGTTTCTGCATTTCACTGGTGTGTTTCTGAAGCATTTCCCAGTCTTTCAGTTTGCTTCTTCAGAAGTTTTGTTTCCTTTTGAGAGTAGTTTGATCAGAATGATGCCTGGGTGTGAATTTTTTTTTTTCCTCTTGCCTTTTGGGAAGTGTGGAGAAGCATCATGACATTTTAAAGGACAAGGTGGCTGGGTTTGTTATTCCCAACAACAGTAACAGAGTATGAGTTGTTCCAACATATCCCTGGAAAGACTGGGAGTATGAGCTCAGTCATATGCCTGGGAAGCCACAAATGATGAAGTTGAATTTGATTTGATGAGCATTTTGTGGTTTTAAGTAGTAAATAACTTCTGGAAAGAAGCGATTGCAGAGATTTGATTGAGCCAGTTCATTTTGCTCCTCTGCAAAACTGACTGAAAAAATGCAAGGTCCCTTCCAACCCAAACCATTCTAGGATTCAGGACCCCACAATAATGATTCCTTCTGGAAAAGTGTCTGTCACAGTTTGACTCAGGTCTGACAACAATGCTCTCGATCCCCTCCCCCTCCCACCCAGGTAGGGAAGGAGAAAGAGAAAAAGAGAGAGACTTGGCTGGATTGAAAACTAAACTACACAGCTTTAATTAAAACACTAATGAATGATACAAGAAAATATATACAATTATATACAGATATATTCAGGTATGGGCAAAAAGCCTTTTGCCTCCCCCCACCCCAACAACTCCCACAGCACTTCCCTGAACTGGGAAGAGTCCCGAGGAATCCCGGAGCTGCTGCTGGAGAAAGCAGAGAGTTATGGGGGTCAGGAGAGCTTGAGCCTGAGGGTCGACAGTAATGGATGAGCAGAGTCCTCCCTGGGCACCGGCCATGGACCGAAGAGAAGGGAAGAAGAAGAAGGAAGGAAGTTGTCTTCTGTGATCTCTGACCTTCCTCTGAGCTTACGTAGTTATATGGAATGGAATATCTTTGGCCAATTTTGCTGTCTGTCTAACTCAGCCTCCTACGGGGGGGTCACAGATCTCCCCACAGTGTCTGAGCCCCAGAGTGCAGGTGCGGCCTTGATGCCTCAGTAGTTAGAAAAACATTCCAGTGTCTTATCAGCCCAGCAGAACATGCTGTTGCTAGTTACAAGAAAGCTTACTGAAGGAAAAAAAAAAACTCAGTAAAAAGAAAAATTGGCTTCATCCTGGCTCAAACCAGGACAGTGTCTCAGGTTTTACAGCTTTTTGCAGTTTGTACACAAACCCTCTGTGTGCATTCCAGAGTCTGGATACCCCAGTTGTAGCAGGAGCTGAAGATTTCTTTCCCAGTCTTATTTTGCTTGATTTTTTTTTTGCCTCACAAATGAGCCAGTCTCTTGAATATTGCACATGTATTTCTGGTCAGAATCTACTTGTGCTTCTTTCCCCAGGTATGAACCTCAGACTGATATTCCTCCTGATGTGGAGACAGAACAGGATCGGGTCTTCTTCATCAAGGCAGTGGCTCAGTTCATGGTGAGTCTGCCTGAGGAGTTGTGTGTGCAGGGTCACAGAGCTGCCTCACACAACTACCAGGGTTGGAAGGGACTTCTAGAGATCACCTAGTCCAACTTCCCCAGCAAAGCAGGATCCCCTGGAGCACATCCCACAGGGCTGCATCCAGGTGGGTCTTGAATATCCCCAGAGAAGGGGACCCCACAAGCCCCTGGGCAGCCTGTCCCAGGGCTCTGTCACCCTCACTGGAAAGAAGTTTTCCCTCATATTTCAGTGGCACTTCCCATGTTCCAGGCTGTGTCCATTGCCCTTCGTCCTGTCCCTGGGCACTGCTGAGCAGAGTCTGGCTCCATCCTCCTGCACCCACCCTGAGATACTTCCAGGCATTGATAAGGTCTCCCCTCAGCCTTCTCCTCTCCAGGCTGAGCAATCCCAGCTCTCTCAGCCTTTCCTCATCAGAGAGATGCTCCAACCCCCCCAGGCATCCTTGTTGCCCTCCCCTGGACTCTCTCCAGCAGTTCCCTGAACTGGGGAGCCCAGACTGGTCCCAGTTCTCCAGCTGTGGCCTCACCAGGGCAGAGCAGAGGGGCAGGATGACCTCCTCAACCTACTGACCACACTCTTCCTAATGCACCCCAGGATTCCATTGGCCTTCTTGGCCACAAGGGCACATTCCTGGCTCATGGACCGTTTACTGTCTACCAGAACTCCTAGATCCTTCTCCTCAGAACTGCTTGCCAGCAGATCCCCTGTGAACTTACTGGTTCCATATTAGCTTCATCACTTTCTCTCTTAACTCCTTGCAGTTCCTTTGCCATGGTGGGTGAGCAAGTGCTGTTCTTGTGCTTCATGGTCTGTCTTGTGTTCTTACAGACACCACCAGGCAAGAACATGGTGTCAGTGAAATCACCCTGAGTGCTGCATCATGGCTTTCTGCATCCAGAGCCAGATGTGGGATCTGATGGAGACAGATTTGTCTCAGGGATAGAATATCAGGATAGATTAATCATTGTGAAGTGTAACTAGTGTTGTTCTGCTTTCCTCAACAAGGAGTAAAGATGTGTTAATTTTGCAGACAAATCATGTATTACTCTGTGTTACTGGTAGTTTGGGAACTTAACAAATGTCTCCTTATTGGACCCAAAAGCTCCTGAAGTGTTTCCAAGGTTGTCTTATGTGTTTGTTGTTTGGGTTTGTTTTTTTTAATCACTTGTCCACCTAGAACTGCCCTTGTCTGTATGGCTCAAAAAGAGGGAGATGAGGGAAATCCTTATTCCTAGAATCCCAGACTGGTTTGGGTTGGAAGGGACCTTAAAGAGCATCAGGTTCCAACCCCCTGCATGGGCAGGGACACCTCCCACCAGCCCAGGTTGCTCCAAGCCCCATCCAACCTGCCCTTCAACACTGCCAGGGATGGGGCAGCCACAGCTTCCCTGGGCAACCTGGGCCAGGCTCTAACCACCCTCACAGCAAAGAATTTCCTCCTCATGTCCAGCCTAAATCTCTCCTCTGCCAGTTTTAATCCATTCCCCTACAAAGATGATGAAGGGACTGGAACATCTGCCTTATGAAGAAAGACTGAGATGCCTGGGGCTGTTCAGTCTGGAGGAGAGAAGGCTGGGAGGGGATCTTATTAATGTCTATAACTGTCTGCAGGGTGGGTGTCAGGAGTGGGCCAGTCCCTATTCAGTGGTGCCTGGGATAGGATGAGGGGAAACAGCACCAAGTGACAACCTCAACATGAGGAGAAACTTCTTTCCTGTCACAGTGACAGAGCCCTGGGACAGGCTGCCTAGGGGGGCTGTGGAGTCTCGTTCTCTGGAGACTTTCCAGACCCATCCAGACGTGTCCTTGTGTGACCTTCCCTGGGTGTACCTGCTGCAGCAGGGGGGTTGGACTCAGTGATCTTCAGAGGTCCCTTCCAACCCTATGATTCTGGTTTTTTCCCCTTTATTATTTTTGAGGTATAAAGACAGTATTGTAATTTTTCATGCTTTTTACCTGACTGGTTTATCTGTACTTCTCAGAGATGACAAGCAAGGGAATAAAACCACTAATAGAGCAGGGGAAAAATATTGAGAGAAACAATAAAATGTTCTGAAGGTCTTGCTGGAAGAGAAGACAGTTGAATTAGGATAATTGATCATATTCTTGTAACTCATTAAGAGTGAAATTCTACCTCTTTGCAGCAGCATCATCTTAAGACCCGGGCACCACTTAAATTCAAATTAAGTTTAAGTGGAATCTAAGTGGTGTCCAGGGTTTTTTCTGATCTTCATGCAGGGAAGAATGAATGGTTAGCTTGAAGGTTTTTTTCATTCTGGCATTTACCTGCCAACTTTCTGACATGCAGAAAGAGCATAAGTTTCAGAAGAACTTCATCTAGAAGCATCATTAATATGATGAGGCAAACTTGTGTTTCCAAACTGAAAGATTTATCTCTGTCAAGCAGAGCATGATGCCTCCACAAAGAGCTTTTGGGTGAAATGTGGAATGAGGAAGTTTGTTCTTTGTGACTTGATGTATTCCTTCCTCCTTCCCAAAGGCCACCAAAGCTCACATAAAGCTCAACACCAAGAAGCTGTACCAGGCAGATGGTTATGCAGTGAAGGAGCTGCTGAAGGTCACCTCTGTGCTCTATGGTGCTATGAATACTAAGGAAGAGGAATATGCAGATGTGAGTGAGGAGGACAGCAGCAAGTTCAAGTTTTATCTTGGCTCAAAGGTAAGGAAAACTTGTCCTCTTGTTTTGGGCAGGGGTTTTGTGTTCATTCATAAAAACAAATCCATTTTCTAGCTGAAACTTAAGAAGAGTATGTTCTTGCAAGGATGTGAGGGGGGTAGTTGGGAAAGAAATTCTTTGGTGTGAGGGTGGTGAGAGCCTGGCCCAGGTTGCCCAGGGAAGCTGTGGCTGCCCCATCCCTGGCAGTGTTGAAGGGCAGGTTGGATGGGGCTTGGAGCAACCTGGGCTGGTGGGAGGTGTCCCTGCCCATGCAGGGGGTTGGATCCTGATGATTTTGAAGGTCCCTTCCAACCCAAACCAGTCTGTGATTCTATGATTTCTATGATTATTTTTTTTTATCCTCTCAATTCTCAACTACAAGCACAATACAAGGCAACAGTGGCAGAAAATTGGGTCTCTTTAGTTTGGACTGTTGTTGAAAACATGGAAATATTAGAATATTCCAGAATAAAGACTTGATTTTGTCTGCTAACTTGGTTACAATGGGAGGAGTTTGCAAAATACTGAAGGTTAATTTTCAGCCTGTTAGAATTGAAGGGAAATCTTCATCTTACCCTGACACACAGTAAAGCTGTTCAAGCCCCTGATAAAAACACCATGTGTGGTTATTAAAAAAAACCATCCCAACACTTTGTTAAATCAGAGGAACTCCTGTTAATTGTGTTTTGGTAGTTTTAGCCCCTCTTTTATTTTCTGATATTTTTAGGCTGGTTCTTTTTAGCTGTGCTATGTCACACCTGCTGGTTAGGCAGTCACACTGTCATCCTGGGGGAAACAGCAGAGCCAGAGTTGATTTTTCTTCTCCCTGGTGGGTCTCTCTGAAGAAAGCACCTGAAGTAAGGATGAAAAACCACTCTTAGATGATCAATATTCATTAACTGTTCCAGGTGCTACTCCCAGACCTTTTGGTAAATATCATTTCTGCTTGTGGAAAAGGTGAAGTTTCCCTTTGCCCTGGGCAGTGTGTGAACCAACAACTGTCTTGAGTAACAGTTTTGAGGAGGTTGAGGATGTTTTGGGGTTTTTTTTGCATCAAGTGGCTGGAGATTGACCTGTGGCTAATTGGTTCTTTATCTAAACCATTTTAAAGCCAAGAGACAGGCTTAATCTGAGCCCAGTCAACAGCTTTTTCAATACTAGAGTTTTAGCCACTGGCCTGTCCTCCTGTGCTATTTGAACATCAAAATGGGAAAACAATCTGCTGGGGATGATTCCCTGCTGCTGCTCAGTGCTCTTGCTGTGTTTCCAGGTTGCTGACCTGAAGGCAGCTCGCCAACTTGCTTCTGAAATCACCCACCAAGGAGCAAGTCTGTATGACTTACTTGGCAAAGAAGTTGAACTAAGGGTAAGTGCACATTGGGGAGGGAATAAAAACTCGTGTTCACTGCCTGCTGCAAAGGAGCCTCCAAATAAGAGGAACGTGGAACTCCTGGGGAAAGTCCAGAGAGGGCCACAATGATGATCAGAGGCTGGAGCAGCTGTTCTGGAGTCAGACTGGGAGAGTTGGGGTGTTCAGCCTGGAGAAGAGAAGGCTCCAGGAAGACCTTAGAGCACCTTCCAGGGCCTGAAGGGGCTCCAGGAAAGCTGGGAAGGGACTTGGGACAAGGACAGGGAGGGAGAGGACAAGGGGGAATGGGTAAAAACTGGCAGAGGGGAGACTGAGGTTGGACATGAGGAGGAAATTCTTTGGTGTGAGGGTGGTGAGAGCCTGGCCCAGGTTGCCCAGGGAAGCTGTGGCTGCCCCATCCCTGGCAGTGTTGAAAGGCAGGTTGGATGGGGCTTGGAGCAACCTGGGCTGGTGGGAGGTGTCCCTGCCCATGCTGGGGGGTGGGACTGGATGGTCTTTAGGGTTCCTTCCAACACAAACCATTCCAGGATTCTATGAAAAGGATGAAAAAACTGTCAGTTGTTCATCTGAACAGTTGCATCTAAAATGAGTATCCTCTGAGTTGAAGGAATGAGTCTGAACACTTTTTATTTCCTTCCCATTCATACTAATACTTGAATTGCAGTAAATCTGAGAGAAAAGTTTTAAACTTTCCTTTCAGCAGAAAAAGCAGGAAACTGAAATAACTCTGTTTGGAAACATTAACTTTATATATAGGTTTTAGTGGTAGAGCTTTGCCTTTCAGAATAGAGTCATGATGAATGCCCTTAGATTTCCAAGTGCAAGGCTGATTTTTTTCTGTTACAGCAACTGAAGGCCTCTCAAGCCTGCAGGGTGCATGTTCTTTAGCTGAGTTGTAAAATCACAACCTGTTGCATGAGGTCAGGGAAGTGTCCTGCAACACTGCCAATGAAGTCTGTCAGTTGTTTTCTTAAATGCATTTATCTGCAGTGCTGGAGACTATTCATTTTCTGCCAATAGACATTTAAAGAAGGCAAACCCTGAATGCTCTGGTTTTGGTCATCTTAACTTGGCAGTGTGTGAGCAGGAGGGAGTGCACCCTGTGAGAGCAACAGGCTGAGTGCCTTGGTAAATGCTTCCAGATCCTTGTTTGATGGAGTAGAAGTGTTTCAGAGGTGGGTGGTGGACAGGGAAGATTATCTGTGGAACACTCCTTTTTCTGCCATATACAGAAATCAGCATGTTGTGCAGCAGTGTGAAAGGCTTTGCTATCTTAAAAGTGAGAGAAGAGCAATAAGCCAGTTTAATTGAACATATATCACAGTCACACAACCATTAATCAGTCACTGCTCTTGCATTTGTTGCTTAATTTCTGGGCTCTGCAGTAGTTTTCATGCAAATGTTGCCTAAGGTGTTAATATTTGGAGAATTGAGCCCTTTTTTCTGTGTACAGAATTCCTAAGAACTCCACTAAAGAGGCAAGTGGAGGTGAGCACAAGGCAGCCTTGTCAGAAAGTCCTCAAGTGTTGCTTGGAAGTTGGGCATGGTTTGATCAGTTGAAATAGGAGTCCAGCTCACTTTACAACTGGGCCCTGGGAAAGCAACTTGCACAAGTGCTGAAAGCATGACATGAAAAATCAGGAGGCAAGTGCTTCACAGGAGCCATTTCTTGGGAGGTGTGTTAAGAAATCTGCAGTTGAAGGCAACTTAAAGGTGCAGTTGCTGAAAAGTTGGTTTTTCTGCTCTACAGAATTGAGTGCATGTTTCTGGTGGTGTAAGGCCTGAGTGCCTGAGGTGGGGCTGAGTGATCCTTTCTAGGTACAGGGCTTCTCTTTGCCAAAAAGGTTTGATGGATTGAACTTCTTGTCTTTGAGGAATCCTGTCTTAGGAAAGATGACCTTTGTTTCTGTCTCATTAGCTCTGAGTTTATAGGCTGTGACACAGCACAGTGAGAATCTTCAGAGACTTTCATGCTCTGTTCCTTATGGCTAGTGACTTGTTTCCAGGCTTCTTCAGGGATTTGTTAAAGCTGAAGAACCCATTTTTGGCTTGTGTGTTCAATACCAGGTTTGGTACAAAGTGTGGGATGAGTTTGAGACCTGAGCCCATAGCAAAGCAAATAGGTTTGGGGTAAAAGCCATGAGGCTGCAGTGACCAGTTGTTTGGTGGAATTTGTCAAGGCTTCCTTGTTTAAATTTAAGGACCCAGCTTTGCCTTTCATGGAGTCACAGAGTCATCAGGGTTGGAAGGGACCTCTGGAGATCCCCTAGCCCACCCCCTGCCAGAGCAGGGTCACCTCCAGCAGATCCCACAGGAACATTTCCAGCTGGGTTTGGAATGTCTCCAGAGAAGGAGCCTCCCCAGCCTCTCTGGGCAGCCTGTTCCAGGGCTCTGCCACCCTCACAGGGAAGAAGTTGTTTCCCATGTTCAGCTTGACCCTCCTGTGCCCCAGCCTGTGCCCATTGCCCCTTGTCCTGTCACTGGGCACCCCTGAGAAGAGTCTGGTCTCCCCTCCTGCCACCCCCTGGAGATATTGACCAGCACTGATCAGATCCCCCCTCAGCCTCCTCCTCTCCAGCTGAGCAGCCCCAGCTCTCCCAGCCTTTCCTCCCAGGCAGATGCTCCAGCCCCTCAGCATCTCTCTGGCTCTGGGCTGGGCTCTCAGGTAGTGGATGATGTTAATTAAGGTTTTGGAAAAAAAATCCAAAGCTTTATTTATTTATTTATTTATTATCTGATGAGATGTCTTTATGGTTTAAGAAAGAAATGAGATTTTATGCTTGAATAAAAAAAGGAAGGGATTTCCTGATTAACAGTCCAAAAGTAGCAGCAAACTTCAATGTGAGGAGAAGCTCTTTGGTTCAAGCCCTGCAGATGGTTGAAGAGGTTTCCTTTCCCACTGTCAGCAGATCCTAACTTGTGGAGCTCCAGGTGTGGAGCAGATCAAGTGTTGCATGAGTGTCACTTGTGCTGTCAGGTAACTGATAAACAGGTCACTTTGGGGAGCAACTCAGCAGTAAGGGGAAAGGGTTGAGAAAACCTGGATCAGAGGATCTTTGGAGTTCAAGGTTGAATTCCACTGGGGCTGTGTTGTTTCCAGCCTGACTATGGATGAGCACAGGGTAGGTTATTGGTTTCCTGAGACAGCACAGTGGTGGAGACACTGAATTTTTATTTTAAAAGGCATTTAAGCTTCACCTTTGAAAGATAGCTTGTAGTTTCCAGCCTTACTGGTCTGAGGCTTAGAGTATGAAAATTGCATAGCTGGAATTTGTGGAGTGTAGTGGAGCTGATGGATGAATTTTGGTACAACAAAAGATCTTGAGGTGAAAAGCAATTCTATGCACAGAGATGTGTGTCATGATCTTCATTGTTTCCTTTACTGTTGGGACTTTCTCTGTGTGGCAGAGTTACTTGGAAGAGTAACCAGACACTGAGTTCTACTTTTCTTTAATCTGTTTTCTGGGGGTTTTTTTGGATGGGAAGATGAGTGTTGATTAGGGTTTGAGGTGGGAATGGGAGATTTGGTTTGGATTTCTTTCCCTCTCTTCACACTAAATGCTTTAGGATGAGGAAAAGAAGTAGGGGTTGGAAATACAGGTGCTGTGATTAAGCCTGTGAAGCCCAAAATCCAGAAAGGCAGCAAGAGAATTAATGTCTGTTCACTTTGTTCACTTTGGGTTCACATGTGGTGGCTGCCTCTGGACCTACACAGTTTCCTGCTGTGGTCTGGGGAGTGGCTAGAAGGTGTTAGAAAGGTTGGTGGTCCTCTCTACCCTCTTAACAGGTGGGGAGATGGATGGGCAAGATGAATCTTTGGTGATCCAGAAAATTCTTTGGTGCTAAATGAAGCAGTAAGGGCTTTCAAGGTCAATTGTGATCAGTTGAGGGAAGGATGCCCCTGAGTTATCATGCATTGAACATCCAAAAGAAAAAAATTGGTGACATCTCAGCAAAGCTTGACTGACTCTGGTCCCTGCCACTTGGCATCTGCCAGAGGTCCTGTGGGCGCGGGAGCAGGAGCCCTTCAAGAAGTTGCCTTGGACTTGCTGAGTTACTAGATGCAGGAAGGAAACAAAAGTGCGTCTGAGCTGGTGGCAGGCAGAAAGATTTCCGACCTTCTCAAGGTGGTGTTCATTTTGTTTACCTCTTAATTAGCTCTAAGCCATATGAAACTGATCAAAGATTAAAACAATCCTTTTTTTAATGTGGTTAGCTTGTGCTGTAGATGGGCAACACAGCAGGTCTGTTTCCTAATGCTCCTCTTGGCACTTACTCCATCTGTGTCCCTGAGCAAACTGTTTATTCCCTGCATATCCTCTTGTATAAATAAAGTAATTCCTGTAATTGTGTTGATTAAAGCTTTTAACAGCCAGATGAAAGTGTTTCCTCATCTGGAGAGGATAAATTTGAGCTGAGTGCAGGGGGCATTGCCAGGAGTGGTGCTGTTCTGTGTGCACACAGCTCAGCCTGTTCCAAACCTGATGGCACTCACTGAGAAGCTCTTCACTGCCTCCAGTTTGTGAAACGCTTGAATTAAGCTCTTAGGAGAGCCTGAGGCATTTAGATCCAGCTGTGGAACTGGGATGGTTATTAGTTACAAGGAAAGAAGTTGCCACTGTGGACATTGAACTTGGATTTCTTTGTTCACAGCTTTTTTCATCCCTCCCTCCTGCTTCCCCTGCTCACGTCACTGCAGTTTGTGCCTCCTCCTCCTCTTCCTCCTGGAGGGAGGCAGATCTGATTTGAGTGGCAGCTGCATTAGTCAGTACAATTTGCAAGGTAACAGCAGAAAAATTATTTTAGTTGGAACGTTAGAAACATTTTCCATCTGCCAAATATTGGTTCCTGGTCTGAGGTTGTTGCCTGAGGGAGGCTGATAAACTGATTTCCCTCCTTTCCTGTGCTCTGGTTACAAAGCTGCCACACAAAAGGTTTCTAGTGGCAATTTGTAACTTGAAATTGCCAGAACTCTGGAGAATGACCTAGTTTGCTTT